ATAAATACGTAGACTGGTCAGTTCGATAAAAATATAGTGATTTCTGATTGAATTCATTCCATTAGACTTGAAATTAAAGAAAAAAAAGGAACCGAAATTTAAAATACCAGGAATTATAACACTTAATTATCCCATTTTTAAGCAAAAACGTAATGTCCAACGTTTCATTTTGTGTGCAAAAGATCAGAGTTCCGTTTCTCTCCTACGGTATTTTTTCTCTGATCATCGTAAAACTTCACAATAATATTGCTATTGTTATAATTATTCGCGTGTTAAAGCAAAATCAATATCACTGAAACCGTAATCCGGAAAATGTTATTTTTGTAAACGGTCTGAAAAATGTCCAACCGTATGCAAAGTAAGTATATTTCGGGTTTGCGCATTTATACCGTGAAATTGAAAAAGCTGAGAGAAAAAATATTTATTATATTTTGAAAGTTTTTTTACTTTTCTCCTGGTTCATGATATTTTTTTGCCGGAAACCATGCGTATAGTTTCTATTGCAATGACTTCAAAAAGTATAGCCATCTTGTCCCAACGAAAAAAACGCTGTATTTTCTTTGAAATTGAGGTTTTAACCAGCTGTCTATCAAATAAGCATAGTTAGATCATAAAAAATAAAACTTGGCGGTAAAGGTTTTTCTGTTTTTCTTCTTAAACAATATAGTGTTTAATATTTTTTCGTTAGGCAACAAGGTTTTTAGATCGTTTCAAAAAGTATAGCCGTTTTGTCCCAACGTTTGCAAAACGTAATTGATGTCATGCTCTGGTTTTTAATTTTATATCGTAATTATTTGTTTCCAGTTTAATTCGAATGAAAATAAATATACATGTATAAATTACAATACAACCAATGTATGAGAAAGGAATAGTTTAAGTTTAAATTCAAATGTTGACCAAATGAGATCGATTTAAAAAAAATATCGGGATCTTAGGGTTTTTTTTATAGCATATTTGCTTTATTTGAGGAACATTGTCTATCTGCAAGTTTTAAATCGTCAAAAGTAACATGTATATTTTTTTTGTTAATAAAATAAAATAGAGAAAACCCATTGCTGGCAATTATAACAAACAAAGGATATGCCACAAAAATACGGAAATGAGAAAATTTAAAACATGAGTCCCGAATGTTTAACTTCCTAAATATTTTGCGACAAAGAAAGCATCGGGAAATGATAAAATATAGAAAGGAAACGGAAACGGGAAGAAATGCAACAAAAGGAATAAATATGCAAAAAATAGGAGAATATGAATTCAAAATCTAATTTATATTAAAAATAAATCTGTGTAAATTTGGACATTATTGTATGGGATTCATTAATGCGAACTGCTGCCGAAAGGAAAATTATCAATTATGGCCTGGAAAGACTGACAACTCCTGTAAATGAATTTCATTAAAAAAATATCTTTACGACCACTTTGAGTTTTATTTGTAAATTTATGCATTTTTTCAGACAAACCGAAATCGGTTACCAAATTCACAACAGTAAATTGACATCATCAATAATATGCTTAAACGCCTGAAACTTTCTTTGAAATCGTCGAAATCGCCTTATTTTGAGGAACGTCGTGAAACGCTAAGTAGTACCAACATCGTGCGCAACGTCTATACATTTGTAATAATAATAATAAAGAAAAGGATGTCATATATATTTAAATGCTATAAGAACACTTGTCAGATTTTTCTTTTCCGTGATCTCACGTATGTTTCTATTTTATTTGACTGTCCTATGAATGTTACCCCTTTCTTTATAAAAAAGAAGAAAAGAAGAACATGTTTGCACCTTTCTTTTTGTAATTACCACAAAAAACAAAACAAAAACAAACTAATATCCGATTTAAATTGATATTTTCCTCAAAGAAAAGGATATATTTAAACTGAAGCTCGATATTCGACAACAATTCATTTCAGTAGTTAAAATGGACATGTGTAACGCCGAAACTGTTGATAATTAAAGCCTTGGTTACAAATATCCTCTGTGACAATATTTTATCAAAATTTAACTATGATTGGCCAGAAAATCTTTATTTCAATGGAATGGAAATGGTGGAAATAATTTAAGGACCTTTAGAAATGTTACAATATCAATGCACACCAAAAAATATATGCATTAAGTAATAGTCTCATCGCATAGAAGAGCGTACGCATGGTTCCGTTGTATAGTGTTGCACTAATCCGCATTCGTAACAATGAACTTGAGAAACATGTAGAAATATTGTTGAAACCGAGCAACATGTATAGTTTGAGTGTCCATTGTACACGGGGGGAGTCTCTTCCTATATAAAGGTATACACAGACGTGCCGCTGGTATGTGTCACTTTTTTAATTACCAATACATCAAGTTAGTGCGATTTCACAGATGTAATATAACATCGAAAAGAAATTTTTATTTCAACGGGTCATACATTTTCATCGTCTGTTAAAGGGGCATTAGCCACAGGGAATCGGTTAGCAGATTAAAATTTTGTTTATCAATGTTTTTCAAATCTTGTTTCGTATTTCCTGTCTATTCTTATTACATTATTAACGTTTTTAACGTTCGGCATAAATATTTCTTTGTTTTCTAGCAATGTGCAGTTTACTATCCATATCCGTATACTGAAAAATCCTAAAGGGATCTAAGTCGCCATTTTGAATAGCTTACCCATCTTTAAATAAAAAATAATTAAATATATTTCTATGTTACTTTATACCTTACAAAGACACTCATTTCCTTCCTAAATGATTCTTCTATCAGAAGCATGCATTGATTTTCCGATCAACGACACCCTTACTCGGCTATCGTTTCAGTCAGGTCAAAATTTTCAAATTTCCCGGCGAAAGCAACGTAACTGGCAAACGTGTCGTTTTTCAATAACAGACAAAATGGGAGATAGCTCTGTCATTCGGAATCTTCCGGGTTGATGCGTTTACTACAACGATAATTCCTCATTGACTGACGAGTGCTGTCCCCTGATACATACGCTCAATCGATTGTGAGACAGATTTACAAGTTAAGAATCCTTCATAAAAATAAAATATCGAACGCAAATTTCTTCAAAACAGTCATTGCATGTATAGTTGCAATGGCAGATTATCCTCCTACACATCCCCACTGAAAATATCAAATGATTGTCTCCATACTATTAGTTCTTTTTTATAAAGGAATGTGACTTTCTGTCAGACACTCTGAGGTCAGACATCGTCCAGATTTTTCCACATCAAGGAGTTATGTAGTATATAAACAGAGGCGGATCTAGGGGGACAAGGGACCGCTCTCCTTGTGGAGCTACATACATGTATATGCTGAATGCATAGGCTTTTTCAAAGTATCACTCCAAAAGTTGGCTTACCAGCCTTGCCCCTCCCCCTTTTTCAAAATCCTTGAACTGAACCTGATAAATCCTTGATCACGTCAATATTTTTTAGTAGCTACTCGATTCTATTGATGTGTCTACCAAGAAGTCAGTGGTTTATTTTACCCCGTTTGCAGAAAGGTTTTATTCGTTTGCTCTTAATTTTTTGATTTATCAAGAAATTTGCGTTTGGTATTTATGTCAGGGGACAGCACTCGTCAGTCTATGAGGAATTATCGTTGTAACAAATGCTTCAACCCGGAAGTTTCCGAATGACAGCGTTATTTCCCATTTCGTCTGTTATTGAAAAACGACGCGTTTGCCAGTTACGTTGCTTTTGTCGGGAAAGGTTGGTTGGTTGGTTTTTGGTGTTTTAACGCCACTTTTAAGCACCGCTTTTGGGCTATTTTGTGGTGGCCAGTTTTTATTAGTGGAGTGCCCGGAGAAAACCACCGACCTTCGATAGGAAAACTGACAATCCTAGTCAATTAAGATTGGAGTCGAGTGCACCCGCACGAGCAGGGTTCGAACTCACAACCTCAGTGTTGACTGGCTAGTGATTACAGTAGTAACTACTTAGACCACTCGGCCACCGAGGCTCCTCGCCGGGAAAGGAATAGGCCAGATAAGACCCCTTTTTGGCCCAAAATATAGCATTTTTACAGATTTGTTGAAATGTAAACTTCTAGCTCTTTATTGGAAAGTAGAATGCACGGTCCGTTATGGAGACACTCCGTTCTAGACCGGCTTAAATAAACAGTTGTTTCAAATTACCCTGTGTTGTGTTACATATCCTGGTCTGGTAAGAACTGAAAATAAATAAATTTACCCAAGACATGATGCTAAGAATATTCTACAACACAAAATGCAGGAATTAATTGTGTAACTACATACTAGTAAGTGAAAATAAATACTTATTTTTATCTGTATTTCTAAGTTTTCCATACACCATAAAAATCAAAATTAAAATTCATAAAATTTTCTTACAAAAAAGTTGAAATTGACAGAAAAAAATGACGCTTGATTCCATTCGTTATCCTTCCGTCAAAGTGTTTGGTTTTAGGTGACGTTATTTGACGTCATTTGTGCGTTTGTTGGGCATAAAATCTATGTCAGTACGTTGAGCTAAGGGATGAATATTCAAATGAGGATAAATGCCTTATGACTGCTTCGATAACTGTTTTTAAATGATAAGATTAATATATTTCTTTAGGCAAGGTTGGATTATGTACATAAGAATAAAGACGGGTGTTTGAAAATGTCCAGCAGTCACAATAACTTTATCAGTTCAAAGATACAGGGATCCAGTTAGCCCATAAAACGTTTTAATGACGTGAGAAATCAGCGTATAGTAAAAGAGTATTTCTGGTCATGGAAATGATATGGATCAAACGTTATAGAATTATAATAAAAGAGGCGGAAGATACCGAGGGGATATTCGGAATTATTTAATAGACAACTTTCGAGTTCGATGCATTTCCGTCAAAAACTCTGGTTTTAGTGAACATCATTCGTGCGTTTAGGGGCATCGTCACTTCCGTTCCAATGTTGAGCAAGTGGTTGGAAAACTATAATGCTATATTGCACGAATTATTCGGCAAATTAAATTCTCATAATTGACAATCAGCACTACTGTCATTAGGGAATTGTGATTAAGTACTTACAAAACAAACATTATTTCTAGTTTATCCTACACAATGACGATCACTAAGACGCTTGATGAACGTTAATAGTGCAGGGATACAGGCGATCCCCTCTATCTGGTAAATGACGTCATAAAGGCGCGCATAATTGACGAGTTTTTTTCCGGTGAAGGATGAACTCGAAAGTGGTCTATTGTGAGTTTATCGTCCCAGTCGGCTCTGTTTACACACCAGTACCCTCTAGAAATTAATAAAAAGATATATTAAATCCTTTATTGTATAGGTTGTAATCCTTGTATGTATGTGTGTCGAACTGATTTCCGATAGAAGAGTATTTAATTTTAAGTATATTGATTTTGAAGCGTTTTGTGAATATAAATGGAACTTTTGAAGAAGCCTACAACTCTCGTCTGGTTAAAGTTTAATCTTTAAATAAAGTATGTGTGTATTCTTATTGAATAAAATATACTGACGCTTTTATGGAGTTTAAGTTGTCATCGTTCACACACGTCTTCATAAACAATCAAGTTTAAAGGTTTTGAGGGACCACAATCTCATAGTATTGTCTTGAAAGCATTTATCAACTTTGAATAATAACAGTTCTCCCGGTGATATGATTATGATATGAAATGTAGGAATGTATGTGTATTTCCTACAGGGAAATCTATACGGTTATACTGTTTCACTTTAAATTGAAATGAACTCATACTCACAGTTATTTTGATTCAAAATATTTCGAAAGCTGTTCATCCAATCACAATTAGTTTTGTTTAGGTATGCAAACCTATTAGTACATAATTTCCTTTCAACTTCAACTTTCATGTATATACAAGTACTAAGTTAAATGGCGTTATTCTGTTAGTGAATTAAATGAACAATTATAATCATGAATAACGCTAGGTCAGAGGCTAGGTATCGATTTGAACAGAAAACTGTGATTACCTCGTGTTTGTTTGTTGTTTTTTTTAAAAGTTTAAACAAATCAAATCAGGTCAAATTTTTCATTTGTAAATAATTACAAACAAAATCACATGTGTGCATAAAAAAATGTTAAATATACACACAAGTCATAATCAATACCATATAGACTTCAAACAACACAATGATGGATTAGACAACTTAGTCTGGTTTAATCTCCGAAAAATAACTTTACAGAAATGCACCCTTGTTCGATAGTTTATTCAGTGACAACATTTACATAGTAACGCTAAACAAAGACACCTAATCAAAATACAAAGATACCAAAGGAACAATACACAATACCACATGTTACCTGTGGTCTGTCCTTAAAATTAATCAACTAGCTATAATGCTGTAATAAAAATCGTTAATAAATAAGACCAAGTATCCGTGATGGGATTAAACTAGACTCCCATAGATGTTTTTTGTTTGAGAAAGTATGTGAAGTAGTGTGAATCAAATGTGCTCCATTTAGGATTAACCCTCTGTTCAAATATCTTCGTCAATTGGTCAAATAATAATAATATAAACAATAGATTTTCTAAGATAATTTTTACCTACCTTATTTTTGAATTAACCCGTAAGTGGTTTAAGCCAGAATGTTCACCTATTATAACTAGTACTTGTACACGCAATCTTTACAAATCTTATTGCTCTTATACACACACATTATTTAAATAAGTTAAATCCACCCGCTATTCTAATTTCATTCTAAAAATAGGACCAGAGTAAACACATAACAGTACTTTCACTGATCATAACGATCGTCACTTCAACCAGCAAAATGTTAGTTGCAAAATTGTTCCTTGATAGAAAGAGCTCTTGAGTATTTAGGTGGACATTTAATTACATAAATTGAGCTTTGTATTTGATGTGCAAAGTATAAATGAATCAATATGACATATTTTGAATTGTTTACATAGTAAAAGTTTATTGAAAAAAAACAGAAAGTGGGAGATATCAAAGGGATTGTCAAAACATACGAGACGGACAAAATCATGCCACCCACCCCTCCCCCTCGAAAAACGACGAAAAGACAAACAGCAGACAAAATCATGCCACCCCCTTGAAAAACGACGAAAAGACAAACAGCAGACAAAATCATGCCACCCCTCGAAAAACGACGAAAAGACAAACAGCAGACAAAATCATGCCATCCCTTGAAAAATGACGAAAAGACATACAGCAGACAAAATCATGCCATCCCCTCGAAAAACGACGAAAAGACAAACAGCAGACAAAATCATGCCACCCCCTCGAAAAACGACAAAAAAGACAAACAGCAGACAAAATCATGCCACCCCCTTGAAAAACGACGAAAAGACAAACAGCAGACAAAATCATGCCATCCCCACGAAAAACGACGAAAAGACAAACAGCAGACAAAATCATGCCACCCCTCGAAAAACGACACAAAAGACAAACAGCAGACAAAATCATGCCACCCCCTTGAAAAACGACGAAAAGACAAACAGCAGACAAAATCATGCCATCCCCTCGAAAAACGACGAAAAGACAAACAGCAGACAAAATCACGCCACCCCCTCGAAAAACGACAAAAAAGACAAACAGCAGACAAAATCATGCCACCCCCTTGAAAAACGACGAAAAGACAAACAGCAGACAAAATCATGCCATCCCCACGAAAAACGACGAAAAGACAAACAGCAGACAAAATCATGCCACCCCTCGAAAAACGACACAAAAGACAAACAGCAAACAAAATCATGCCACCCCCTTGAAAAACGACGAAAAGACAAACAGCAGACAAAATCATGCCATCCCCTCGAAAAACGACGAAAAGACAAACAGCAGACAAAATCATGCCACCCCTCGAAAAACGACAAAAAAGACAAACAGCAATCTACAAAACACTTCTTGAAAAACTGAAGACTATTCAACACAAACCCCACCAGAAAACTGGGGTGATCTCATGTGCTTCTGAAGGGTAAACATATCTTGCTCCACTTGTGGCAACCGACATGTTACTGTTCATGGTAAGTATAGACTGATTCTGTGATGTCACAATTGAGATAACTAGGAAGGGAGTGTGGGTACTACAATTGGAACATATCCGTGGTCATCTGTGACACAGGTATTCCAAAACGGTCAACTAACTCATCATAACTTTCGTTAAACTTTGAAAGGGATTACTTCAACCTTGCTACTAGCAACCCTTGGTTCAAAATATTCAATGAAAGAAGCAACCCTGTTTCTATTGGAGTGTTAATTTGGCGATTTTCTATGATATACACCTATGATATACACCTATGATATACACCTATTTGAACACAAATTATAGAATAGAGCTCATAGATATAATGCAGCTTTTTAAATCAAAATAAAAAATAATTTGAGAAGGTGTCAAAATATATGATATTGAAGATACATCACAATAAATTTCAATGACATAATACTATGGAAAGATTAAAAGGTTTATCTGGTATTTGCATCAATTTGAATTTCTGTATTTTGAAAACAAACTCCCGACAATGAATAATTAACTAGTTATCTTGAAGGAGTAAGTCGGGTATAGCTTTAACATAGGTATGAAAAAAACCGTGCTACAATAACTGTGAAAGTTTGGTACCAATCCTATGATTTTGGATTATAAACCAATAAAATATTCTTATTTCAACTCTTAAAAATGTTACAGGACCAATACTGGGTCTGTACCTGCGTCACTGCATGTAATTGATTGAGGTTACTTGTATACTGAAACATAACTGACCATTCCCTACCATAAAGCCAAGAAATGTTTAACACAAAATTTTCCTTGTAGAGTGTGTGTTATAAAATTGCAAGTTATTGGCAAGCAGGAAGTGGTTGCACGGCTCATGTAAAAATTGCTTACACTTTACAGCTGATCATTATCAAGCCCCAGACTAAATATAAAACCATTCCCTTCCATAGAAAGCAAGATAATGACGAAAATGTTCCTTTGTACAATGAGTGTTGTAAAATTTCAAACTATCGGCAAATAGGCAGTGGCTGCACGGCTTATGTAAAACTTGGTTAAACGGTACAACTCAACATTATCAAGCTCTTATCAAGCTCCAGACGAAATATAAAATCATTCCCTTGCAGAGAGGCCAAGAAAAGCATGACGAAATAGGCAGTGGCTGCACGGCTTATGTAAAACTTGGTTAAACGGTACAACTCAACATTATCAAGCTCTTATCAAGCTCCAGACGAAATATAAAATCATTCCCTTGCAGAGAGGCCAAGAAAAGCATGACGAAAGTTTTCTACCAAAGTTCTTTTGGATGGACGGTCGGAGTGGAGCGGGATACTAGACCTGCTTTTGCCGTTGGCGACGCCGGTAAATATAAAAAAGTGCACTTTTCAATTGTTAAAATGTTTTCTTTAGTTTATCTAAAAGTGAACATTAGGGTCTTCAGCAAGAAGCAAAAGTAAAAGCTGCAAAACTGTGTAGTATTAAGCTATGAAAGGCACACAGTATGACAAAATGTGAATCTATACTGTGTAGTATTAAGCTATGAAAGGCCCCAGTATGACAAATGTGAATCTATACTGTGTAGTATTAAGCTATAAAAGGCCCCAGTATGACAAAATGTGAATCTATACTGTGTAGTATTAAGCTATGAAAGGCCCCAATATGACAAAATGTGAATCTATACTTTATGACAAAATATGAATCTATACTGTGTAGTATTAAGCTATGAAAGGCCCCAGTATGACAAAATGTGAATCTAAACTATGTAGTAGTAAGCTGTGAAAGGCCCCAATATGACAAAATGTGAATCTATACTGTGTAGTATTAAGCTATGAAAGGCCCCAGTATGACAAACTGTGAATCTATACTGCGTAGTTTTAAGCTATGAAAGGCCCCAGTATGACAAATGTGAATCTATACTGTGTAGTATTAAGCTATGAAAGGCCCCAGTATGACAAATGTGAATCTTTGCATAAACAGGGCCTGATTTATACTACAACAATTGAGGAAAACTTTTAGTGCAGACAGAAACTAAAGACAACCACTGGAATACAAACTCCTGGATTGGGAAAATCAGTTGGAAAGGACCTTATTCCTCAGATCGGTACCAATCACAAAATAAATAACAACAAGATTGTGTCCATAGTACACGGATGCCTCACTCACACTATCATTTTCTATGTTCAGTGGACCGTGGAATTGGGGTCAAAACTCTAACTTGGTATTAAAATTAGAAAGATCATATCATATGGAACATGTGTACTAAGTTTCAAATTGATTGGACTTCAACTTCATCAAAAACTACCTTGACCAAAAACTTTAACCTGAAGCGGGACAGACGGACGAACGAACGAACGAACGGTCTAACGGACGGACGAACAAACGAACGGACGCACAGACCAGAAAACATAATGCCCCTCTACTACCGTAGGTGGGGCATAAAAACACAAAAGACGCTCAAGTCATCGATCTAAGATAATTCGTTTTTACTAGCAAAATTTCCACTATAAAAATAAGAAGATGTGGCATGATTACCAATGAGACAACTCTCCACCAGAGACCAAATAACATGGAAGTTAACAATTATGGGTCTGACACTGTGTTCTCAAAGACTAAGATGTCAACCAATCAGACACAAAACTCGCAAGTAATATAGTGAGGCACTGAACTATATTAAATGCGAATAGCAAAGAAGAAACATTCGCCCTTATAATAAAATGTTTTTAAATTGAGAACTCAGTTACGCAACGTGGATGAAATTTATTGTTTTTAAAGGCCATCTTTCTTCTTGATTATATAAAATCCGAAATGGAAACCTCGTAAAATTGCAGAGATGGTCAGAAAAATGACAGAAAGGATATTAAAAGATACAAACCAAATTGTTTTCACGTCACAGAGTATATAAGCGTTAAAATTGTAAGATGTTTTGGTGTCTTAAAAGTGGACATTTTTCGGTGGATAGAAATCGTTGGCCGGGGTAAAAATCGGACGCGTTTGGGCGTTTGTGATTTTAAAGACACACTAGAGCAAAATGGCACGTTTCGACAAGGCGCACACGTTTTGGGAATGAACACGTTTGACAGTGTTACATATATGTAGCGACTTAAAGAAGAATGTTAACGCTTTATGCTTTATCGGCGCATTTTAACTATGGACTAGTATTTTGAAACGTTGAAGCAAAGATTAAATCAGGGAGGGTTGAAAATGTTCACAATGCCTGAAAAGATGAGAATGCCATAAATCACAATTTCATAGTGCACCCGAATGAAAGCAGATGCATGAATAAGCTGAAACGAGAATAAACGCGACGACAAAAGTAAAAACGGCATCCAGAATTCAAGAAACAGTCATTCAAACCCCAAGGGTATAGAAATATGATCACCTCTAGACTTCTTTACGTCTGACAGTAGAACCTTTGCGAAAGTGAGGCGTTCATTTGACTGTGCGGAATGTATAAATACACAGGCATTGTTTGGTCGCAATGGGGACGTTAAATCTGGTGCCTCGTGTTGGGATATTGCCACGCTCTGCAGTTAAAGAAACATTACAGTTAAGTCTGCTTCATATCTCGACTTACATCTAGTAATTGATAATGGGGGTCGATTGGGAACAAAACATTACGACAAAAGAGATGATTTCAGCTCCCCAATTGTGAACTTTCTATTTCCATGTAGCAACATTCCAGCAGCGACTGCATATGGAGTATATATCTCCCAGTTGATACGATATTCCAGGGCTTGTGTTTCCTATCATGATTTTCTTGATAGAAGGTTGCTGCTCACAAGGAAGCTATT